AAGGGGTGGGAGGGGGTGAAATACCAAAGCCCGCACACACGGCTGACATTTTCACCATAACAAGCTCTCGGCAGGGCTGTGTGCGCTATTCCCCCCGATGACAATCGAAATCGCTATGGCCCGACCTAGTATGCCTAGGCTGCGAACCCATTTCAAACAAAAACGGCACACACAGCCCCGGCTGGAAACTCACCCCTCGGATCGCCGTGGCTACTGGCCTGGCCGTGTTTTTCTACTTCTTCTGCTGTGTTGCTGTGTCTTGCCAAGTGCATATGTCATATGTCATATGTGTGTGGAAACCCGGCACACACGGCCCGCCGACATGTCCTATGACTCGGCCCAATGAGAGCGAGCTGCTATATCTCCGTCCAACATTGGCCAGCTCACTTGACTCCCAATGAGAGCGAGCTGCTATATCTCCGTCCAACATTGGCCAGCGACTCCCAATGAGAGCGAGCTGCTATATCTCCGTCCAACATTGGCCAGCTCACTTGACTCCAAGACCGTGCTCAATCGTCCTCGTCCTGAATGCCCACGTCGCTGTTGCGAATCTGCTGGGAGCTGGGAGGCTTGTCGCCTGTCTTGTACGTGTCCATTGCAGTCCCAACTATGTTCACACAGCTGTAGGCATCATCGACCTCACAGTCTTTCACGATGCGCTTGATCACGGAGTCCGACCAGCCGAGCATGGTGATCAAGCGACCCTTCCTGCTTTCATATGTTTCTGGATCGCGAAGGAAATTACCAATCGTCTGCCGAAAGTCAGCAACGGTCACCACCATGATCGGAACGCGGCTTAAAAATGCTAAGCGGCTAGATCTGCAAAGTCTTTAAAGTCTCAGTCTGATGAGTGCTCACTGCTGTCCTGATGCATGTGTGTGCTGCGCATGAGCTGTGGCTGACTGACAAGCACTAAGTGGCTGTGATCATGCCAAAATACAGTGAGTCACCGTCAATCTCAGAACCCCGTGGTCCACTGCATGTGCTGAAGAAGACCCAATGGAAAGACCCGACGCATATAGGCACCTCCAAGACCGAGTCGTAGAGGCTTTCGTTCATGTCCAGCCGGAAGAGGATGTTGGATCACCTGTTTGCGCAGGGTCTAGGGTTTTGGGTCTGTAGGGTTTAGGGCAGCAACAGCCGGCGCCTCCGCCGACGTCCAAGCAGGAGCCACGCAGCCCGGACCATGCCACATGCATCACGACAGATCATCAGACAAATCACTCCATCAACTAAGAACGGCTATGCCGCTAAGCCCCAGCACTGAGAGAATCAAGAAAGAGCCAATCTGTTGATCCTTACTATTTCTGGACCTGGCCAACGCCGCCAATGCGGCTTCACAGGAGTGCAAAAAACGTGTAGCAGCTGGGCTTCTGAGTGAAGGAAAAATCTATTCTAGCTCTTCCTAGCTCCCTTGATCGCGCGCCGGCTGTGAAGCAGACGGTTTACACGGTGATAGTAAAGACTCTCTAAGAGGGTTTAAGGTTAAGGGCTTATGGCTTCGGAAGTCGCTGATGGCCATGAGCGCGTGCTGAGCACAACAGAACACGCTGCGAAGACTGTGTATACAGCATACAGCATACCCCTCTCTCGCTCTCTCTTCTAAAGCTCTCTGTCTCTCTCTCTCTCTCTCTCTCTCGCAGCTCTCTCGCTTTCTCTGGCACTCCTCTCTGTCACTCTCCCTCACCTGCTTTTGCCGAGCTCCTCTCCCTCATGGCTTGCAGAAGACTGCGGCCGAGCGCCCGGCCCACGACTTCGGGAACATGGCCGACTTTTGGAAAACCAATAGGAGAGAGAAAAACAAGGAGAGAGAAACGAGAGACAAGTCTGGGCCACCTGCACGCCCCCTCTGCAGGGCTGAATCTCACCCCTTTCGGGGTTCTTGTTGCAGTACCCCTTTCAGGGTTCTTTGACCCCTTTCGAGGTCCAGGTCCACACCCCTTTCGGGGTTCTGGCTGACACCCCTTGCGGGGTTTGCATGACTCCTCTCGGAGTCCCAAAACCACACCCCTTTCGGGGTTCAACACTGCACCCTTGTCGGCGGCCTTCAGGCCTGCAGTGACACCCCTTGCGGGGTTCAGCCCCTTGCGGGGCCCGACCAGTGCCTCGTCCAATCATCGCACCTGGCCTGACATCCTGACAGGGCCTGAAGGAGTTTGGGATTTGTGTTGGGAGTGGCGGGCCATTCGGGTATTAAGGTCTAGGGAAGTTTGCTTTTTGTCTGATCACTGATTGGGACAACTTCTCCCCCTCTCCCCTCTCTCTCTCTCTCTCTCTCTCTCTCTCTCTCTCTCTCTTTCTCTCTCTCTCGCTCTCTTCCCTTTCTTTCCCTCTGCATCTGCCCACTCTCTTTCTCCTGCTCTGCTCTTTCTGCCCTCTTTGCCAGGTCTCTTCCCCCCTCCACTCCTTTCCCTTCCCTTCCACTATGACCATGAAATAAACACTGTGATAGACTGCTTAGTATTACTCTTATTATTATCAGTATTACTATTACTTAAATCCAATTATTGTTACTGATACTGATACTTTTGCTGATATTGCCCTTACTAGTACAATTACTACAATTACAACTTAACTATTACTATTGTAATTTTTACTACGATTATGACTATTACTATTAGTATTACCATTATTACTATGATTACTACTATTACGAAAATTAATACTATTATTACTGTTATTACTATTATTACCATTATTACTACTATTAGTACTATTATTACTATTATTGCTATTATTACTATTATTACTATTATTACTATTATTACTATTAATACTACTATTATTGTATTTTTACAGTATTACTAATATTACAATACATTACTATTATTACTACTACTATTATTGACTATTATTAACTTATTAACCAGGGGAAAGGCCGGGAAAGGGGAGAGGGAGGGGAAAGGGAAGAGATGGGGAAAAGGGAGGGGAGAGGAGGAAAGGGTAGAGGAGGGAAGACAGGAAGGAGGGGAAGGGACATGGGCCATGTGCCCTGAAAGGGGGAGAGGGGGGGAGAGTGGAGAGGGGAGGGGATAGGGGAGAGGGAGAGAGGGGAGAGAGGGGAGAGGGAGAGAGGGAGAGAGGGAGAGAGGGAGAGAGAGGGGGGAGGGGGGAGAGAGGGAGAGAGGGGGAGAGAGGGGTAGAGGGGAGAGAGGGGAGGAGAGGGGGGGAGGGGGAGGGGAGAGAGGGGAAAAGGAGAGGGGAGGATAGGGGAGGAGAGGGGGGAGAGGGGGAGAGAGGGGAGAAGAGAGGGAGAGGGGAGAGAGGGGAGAGAGGGGAGAGAGGGGAGAGAGGGGAGAGAGGGGAGAGAGGGGAGAGAGGGGAGAGAGGGGAGAGAGGGGAGAGAGGGGGGAGAGAGGGGAGAGAGGGGAGAGAGGGGAGAGGGGAGGGGAGGGGAGAGAGGGGAGAGAGGGGAGAGAGGGGAGAGAGGGGGGAGAGGGGGGAGAGGGGGGACAGGGAGCAACTGATTTGCCGGAAAAGTAGTTTGGGAAGGCCAACTTGGGCAACTGATTTGCCGGAAAAGTAGTTTGGGAAAGCCAACTTGGTCAACTTCCTTGCCCAAAAACAGTTGTGCGTTTTTTGGGGGTGTCTATATAAGGAAATGGTTATTCCACTGTTACAGGAGCCCGGCTGTACCCAAAGTTTAGGGCTTAGGGTTTAGGGTTTTGTTCTCAAGGAACTCATTTAACCCCAAGTTTAGGTGTATCCCTAAGGGTCCAAAAATCACAATAATAAGATACTCGGTTTTAGGATAGTAGTTATGTAGGTTAGGATTTTGGAGAGTATATGATTAGTAGGTACTTGGACACTTAGGGTTAGGCTCTTCTTAAGGAGGGTTAAGCCTTTAGGGTCTATATAAGGTTTACTGCTTTACGACGTTCGGGCTTTAGGGCTTGAGGTTTTTAGGGTCTTGGGTCCTTCTTAAAGAAATCATTTAGCCCATAAAGTTTAAGCTTTTCAGGGTTTTAGGATTTTAAGGTCTACCTTAACCCCAAATAACCTACCTTTTTATATAAGGAAACCAAAATACGGTTGATGATATAAATCCTGCATGACCCATAATAAGGAATATACCATAATTACCATATATTCCTTATTATGGGTAATGCAGGATTTATATCATCAACCGTACCCAGACCTTCCAAAATCCCTTAATTAAGGAATATACCCTAAATTATAGCAGGATCCCTAATATGATTTAAGGTATATTCCTTAATTAAGGGATCTTGGAAGTTCTGGGTAGATCCTTTAAAGGGATCTATGAGGGTACCTTTAAGGGTGTCCTTTAAGGGATCTATAAGGGAACTCTCAAAACGTAGGTAGTAGGGGTGTAGGGGGGAACTCACGAAACCCTCAGATTCGGACCTAGGGCTTCAGGGATTTAGGGTTTAGGGTTTTGGGGTCCCTTTAAGGGTTCCTTTTAGGGTTCCTTTAAGGGTGTCTTTAAGGGTTCCTTTTAAGGGTTCCTTTTCAGGGTTCCTTTTAAGGGTTCCTTTAAGGGTTCCTGTAAGGCTCCTTTACGGATCCCTTTAAAAGGGTTTAGGGTTTAGGGGCTTCGGGTGGATACGGTTCAAGTACCCAAACAGTAGGTTTTTTACCCTACTATTTCTGAATTTGGACCCTCTGGGTAAGTTACCCTAATTTAGGCTTCTATAAGGGTATTTTAAAGGGTTTAGGCGGTTTAGGCTTGAGAATCCTCAATCTCTTGATTGCTGAGTTCCTGGGCTCCCAAACTAGCTAACCTGTCTAATTGGGTTTAGGGTTTAGGGTTTAGGGTTTAGGTTCCAGCCCCAACCCCAAAACCCTGCTCAAACCCTACTCTAAGGGTCCATGTACCCAAATAGTATTTACATTGGCCTCAGAGTAGTCCCTATATAGGTATTCTGGGGCCAAAGTATACACTATTTGGGTACATGGACCCTTAGGGCTATTCAAACCCTACTCAAACCCTGATCAAACCCTGCTCAAACCCTACAAAGCGTATTCAGATACTAAGTTTCCGCCATCTCCATGTGACCTCCGTCAGCCGCGAGAACCAAAGCCGTGAGGACGCATCGGTTTCTGAAACCCTGGTCCTGGGCTCTTAGTTCAATAAGTGTGTGGCTTCGGGTTTTAAGATTTTTGGGGGTTTAGGTTTCCGGCTTACTGTGTACACCCTGAGGATCAAAATATCCCAAACGCCTAATATAGTATGGTCTTTGGGCCCAAAAGCCTTAATATATGAGTCCTTAAATCCCTAAACCCTATAGATCCCATTTAAAGGACCCCTTATAGATCCCATTAAAGGAGGCCCTCAACTATATATGAATCCTTAGATCTCTAGGGTTAGGCTTTCGGACTGTAAGGCTGTACCGCTGTGAAGTTGTGGGGTTGAGGGCTTAGTCACACCCAGGGCTTGGGCTTGACAACAAGGCTTCGATAGGGTTGTACAGGATTTTAAACGGTGTTCCACTGCTGACGAGGGTTTGAGAAAGTTTGAGAAGGGGTCATAAGGTGTAAGCTGAAAGGGCTGTATAACTGTATAACTCTGAACCTTGAAGCGTAGAATTACAAAAACAACCCTAAACCCTAGACCCTAACCTCTAAAGAAAAGGTCAAGACTCTGCGGACTCAAGCAGCAGGCGCGCGACCTGGACATGTCCTGCCTGAGCTTCCGGGTTTCTGGAGGTTCAGGGTTTGTGGGCTCCAATTAGGTGTTTAGGGGTTTAGGGTTTTAGGGCTTTAAGGCTAAGGGGTTAGTGGGGGTTTTGAAGGTTTCAAGATCGTTTCAGATGGTTTATGGGGCTTTAGAGTTTTAGGATGTAAGAAGGTTCTAGGATGTAATACCGCTTTAGGGAGAAATAGCGGTTTTGGGCTTAGTGCTTTAGGTTGTGCAGGTTTTTCGGTTTTTGAAGTGTCGTACTGATGTTACAAATGGCTTACAAAGATTCTGCTTCTAGCGGATGTTAAGGTTGCTTTTGAGGTTCTTGTAATACAGTTATAGGGGCTCTACAATAGGGCCCCAAAAAAGCACATAAGCAAAAATTAGGATAGTGATATCCCATATAAATCCCCTTACAACGAAGCCCAATAAAGTAGGGATATCCGTATAAAATGCTTATGCTTATGTGCTTTTGGGGGTCCCTATACAAGGCATAAGACTTTTATGAGGATTCTGTTGGGGAGTTTAGTTAGGGGTCCAGGAATGAACGGCTTGGAGGCTTCGGGTTTAAGGCTTCAAAAACGTAATCTGGGGCCTTAATAATTAGAATAAGGTTTGGGGCATTATACTATGATTGCAATAAGGAACCCTAAGGAATAGCTTAGGTAATTATTTAGGCCCCTATAGTAGGGTTGAGCAGGGGTTTCATACCATCGTGCCTGGGCCGCGTAGCTGAGCTCACGCGCAGCCATGGTTTCGTCCGGGCTCGGACGCAGTACCAGTCTCGGTGCTTGCTTGGAAATCCAGGGCCTAAGGGTTTGGGGATTTAGGGTTTTAGTTGTTCCTTTGAAGGGATCTCTTTTTTTTCATACCTTTAAGGGGCTCCTTTAAGAGATCGTTCGGGTTTAGGGGATTTAGGGGTTTAGGGCTTAGGGTTTATGGAATTCGGATCTTGTAAGAATTGTTTACAAGGATATCAAAGGGTCTTACAGGACGCCTCCCTTAAAATGGTACCTCCAAAGCAAATTGTCAAACAAGAACCCAGTAACTCAGTAGCAATACCCGAAAGCCTAAACCCCAAAAACCCTATACCCAAGAACCCTGAACCCCTAAACCCTTAATCCCTGAACTCAAAAAGCCTGAACCCCAAGCAATGTAAACCCTGAACCCAAAAAGCCTGAACCACAAAAAACCTTAAAACCTGAACCCAAAAGGCCTAAACCCAAAAACCCCAAACCCTTCACCAGACCCTTTAAAGGAACCCCTATAGATCCCTTTAAAGGAACCCTAAAGCCCCGAGAAAAAAAAAAAAAAAACGAAACCCTTCGCTAGAGCCCAGTAGCTGCAGATCAAGGTCGTCAGACTCTTGGAGGAGAGCCTGGGTGCCCTTTTAGGCTTTGTTTTAGGGTTTAGGGTTTAGGGTTTAGGGTTTAGGGTTTAGGGTTTAGGGTCTAGGGTTTAGGGTTTAGGGTTCCTTTAAGGGGATCTGTATAGCATGAAAGGGTTTCGGGGCTTCCCTCAGCATCAAAATATCCCAAAAGCCTTATATATTGGAGGAGAGCACTAGCCGGCCCCTTACTTGGAGGGTCGGGGGACTTAGTAAGTGGTTATTTTAAGGACTTATAAGTACCATAACCCCAATGGATCTATAAGGGTTTGGGGTTTAGGGTGTTTTTTTTGTGTGGGTTTAGGGTTCTTAGGGCCCTTTCGGGCTCCGTTTAGAGGGATCCATAGGGGCTCCTTTAATGGGATTTGTATAGCATAAGAGTGAGGCTTTCGAGGTTTTAAGGGTTTAGGGTTTCAGGGTTTTGACGTTTAATTTGGGGTTTAGGGTTCCTTTTAGAGGGATCCATAAGGGTTCCTTTAAAGGGATCTATAAGGGTGTTGGGTTTAGGCTTTGGGGTTTGGGGCTCTTGTTTTGGTTTAGGTCTTCAGGGTTCAAGGGTTTTAGGGTTTAGGGTTTAGGGTTAAGGGTTTAGTGTTTAAGTGCTTTCCAGTGTTTAGGGTTTAGGGTTCAGGGTACCCTTTGTCCTACTATTTCCCGAAGGCTCAAAATGGCGCAGAAGCCGAGAGTTGCACGGTTTTTGGGCCCAAAAAGCCTTGAGATGTGAGTCGTCAGAGCCTTAGGGCTTGGTTTTAGTAAGGGAACCCAAAAAGAAAAAAAAGCAAAAGGGTACTACTTGAGAACCTGGTAGAATAAACCCCTAGACATCCCTGAAGGAACCCTTTCAGGATCCCTTTAAAGGAACCCTTTAAGGAACCCTTATAGAACTCTTTAAGGAACGCTTCAGAAAGGGTAAAAGGGTACTACTCGGGGGAGCCGAGGAGCATCATCCAGCAGCACTTGCCCGTCTTGGAGCAACTGCTGGAGGCATACCTAAATAGGGGCCTTGATAATTAGAATAGGGTTTTGGGGCCCATTATACTACAAGCATAATAAGGAACCCCCAAAATTGTACAGGTAATTATTTAGGGCCCAATATTATAACCCCAAACCGGTTTAGGGTTCGGGTTTCGGGTTTAGGGTTTAGGGTTCATAAGGGTGTAGGGTTAACCCGACAAAGGAGTAGGTTGCAGCCTCGTAATTGTGTTCTGTAACCCCTAGATATGCAACGGCAGAGAGAGAGAGAGAGAGAGAACTCCTAAATAGCAAGCTAAAGCCCCATGATTCTGGGTCAAAGACACCCTAAACATCTACTTCTAGAACGAAAAGAAGCCGGAGCCCAACAAGTTAAGGTTCTAAGACCCGAGATAAGTCCCAAGCAATGAAGTAGCACATTTTTGGATCCTAAATCCTAAACCCCAAAGACACCCTGAAGTAGTACACGTTTGGATCCTAAACCCCGAACCCCAAAGACACCCTAAGTGGTACGTGTTTTGGATCCTAAACCCCAAACCCCAAAGACACCCTAAGGGGTATGTGTTTTGGATCCGGAGGTGCGGGGTAACCATGCCGATCACGCAGGCATTTCTTCAACGTCCTCACGCCCGTCACCTCCTGAGATCTTCCAATATCCAATTTGCATTACTCAGGTGAGGAATATACCTTAACACATAAGAATAAGCGGGATCCTTCAACAAACAAAACCCTAAACTCCCAAACCCCGAAACCCCTAACCCTGAACCCCTAACCCCCAAACCCCCTAAACCCAGAGCCTTGTAGATCCCTTAACAAGGAAGCCTTATGGATCCCTTCAAAAGGAACCCTGAACCCCTAATTCAACCCAAAAAACCCTAAACCCCTAATCCCCTAAACCCTATGGATCCCTTAAAGGAGCGGTACGCTTACATATAGAGATCCCTTTAAAGGAACCCCTAAAACCCTCAACCCCTAAACACCTAAAGCCCTAAAACCCTGACCAAAGAACCGGTGTGCGTCGACACTAACACACAATCCATTTCTCCCTGGTTCTTAGTAAGGAATAGGGGAATGGATTATTCAGACTACTATTGGGGATTATAACCCTCCCCAAACCCTTACAGATCCCGTTGAAGGAACCCCTAAAGCCCCTGAACCCCTAAAGCCCTAAAACCCTGCATAGAACCCTGATAGATCCCTGTAAGAAGAACTCTTATGGATCCCTTCAAAAAGGAACCCTTCGAGAAACTCTAAACCTCAGCCCCCAAAACCCCTGAACCCTGGGTCCTCCAGTGCCAAAGAAGCCAGCTCCACTCCGGTAATCTTCCAAACGCGCAGCATGGCCGATCACAGTGGAGGGGTTTACTTGGAGGGTCGGGGGACTTAGTAAGGGCTCTTAAATCGCTCGTTAAATTAAAGGGATCTATAGGGTTCCTTAAAAGGGATCTATGGGGTTTAGGGTTTAGGGTCTACTTGGAGGGTCGGGGGACTGAGTAAGTAGATAGTAAGTAGGCTTATAAGTACCCTAAAAGGGGTCCTAATTGGGGCTATGGTACTTATAAGTCCCTAAAACAACCAGTTACTAAGTCCCCCGACCCTCCAAGTAAGGTTTAGGAGCCGTGGTTTAGGATTTAGGATCCGATTTACGATCCAGGGTGTAGGAGTTTAGGGGTTTAAGGGTTTAGGGGTTTAGGGTTTAGGGCTTGAAGGGTTTAGAGGCTTAGTAGGGGTGGCGGAGTTTAGGGTTTGGGGTTCAGGGCTTGAATTAAGGAGTTTATGAGGGTTTAGGGTTTAGGGCTTCGGGATTAGGGGTTTAGTTGTTAGGCGTTTAGGGGTTAGGGCTTAGGGATTAGGGTTGCGGCTTTCGTAAATCGCGGCCTGAATTTGACTCTAGGGTTTCTATGAACGGATCTACAAGGGCAACTGTAAGGGTTCTATGATATGGAAGGAGGAACCCATCGAAATAGTACTCATGATAATCAGTCAACATATTCCAAGATATCAACTTCACTAGCGCTTTTGGGAGTCGAGTCTGCCCGACTGGTGTATTCATTTCGAACCCGATATCCTGAAATGTTATGAAACATGAAGCCCTATACAGAGCTGTAAGTAAACGACGGATAGAAAAGAACCTATGAAACCTTTATGATCTCCTACAGACTATATACAAGAACCCCAAAAACACCAAGCCATTGGGACTACCGCGTTGCCAGAAGGGGCCACGAAACTTTGAATCTTGACGCGTTGAGGCTTGAAGGTTTGGGGTTTACGGTGTAGAGTTCACTGTTCAGGGTTTGGGGTTTACGGTTTAGAGTCTAGGGTTCAGGGTTTAGGGTTTACGGTTCAGACTGTATGGGTTTGTTGGAGCCTAAGGCTTAAGGCTTTGAGTTTGGGTGTCAGTGGACAGAACTACGGATACCTTGCTCCTGTTTCGAGTAAAACCTTCTTTTCGAAGCTTCAGGTACCTTCAAACTTCGACACCCCGCTTGGGAGGAAGACAGCTGCATTTGGCATGCAATTGGCCGAAGCCTGCACCCTTTGCCTTAGTTTTCAAGGCTCACGGGAGTTAGTAACCTAGGCTGTAAACCAGGTAACTATACTTGCACAGAAGTACTTATAACCCCAACTAAGGTACATATAACCTTACTGACTAAGTCCTATGATCCTCCAGGTAAGCCATAGGTACACCCCCTCTTGCAGCTTAGTTCTCTCGCATGTTCTTACTAAGCGGCTGTTACTGAGAGGGAGATTGACCTATACCTTGTACCCTAGACTGTGCAATCCCCAAACCCTGGAACTCAGACAATGCTCAAAAAGAAACAGCGCTGGGCCCTACACCCAAAAACTGAAAACCTCAAGACTCAAGCCAGCAAAGCGTACCTAGGAGCTTGGAATGAGATTAGGGTTGGCAACTGATGGATCCAGGTTCAAGACTTTAAGGTCTAGGCCTACGCGAAAGTGGCGAAAGTGTAGGAAAGCGCCGGAGTACATCGCACAAACATTCCGCGACCCCAAAACCCAAACCGGAAACCGGTTGCTATAGCTTCTACCCTAAACCCTAAACCCTCAAGCCCAGGATAAATACAAATTGCTTAGGCAAAGCAAAACACAGAACCCGCACAAAACCGCACAACACTCCGGACCTGAACCCTAAACAAATTGTATAAACCCTAAACCCTGAAAGTAGATTCCTCAACGCAGTGGATTTAAAGTTTCCGACCATACCCCGAGACTCCAAACACGTAGGATTCAGAACTTCCAAAATCCCTTAATTAAGGAATATACCTTAAATCATATAAGGGATCCTAGTATAATTTAAAGTATATTCCTTCATTCAAAGATTTTGGAAGGTCTGGGGATATCCCTGAACAGAAGGCTGCTAAAGAGTTTCTTTCAAACAGGAAAAGGAGGGACCCTTAATGGGGACCCCTACCCTATAACGGGCTATATAATGGGAAAATAATAGCCAGATTAAGGTTAAAAACCGATATACCTAGGGGTCCTTATTAAGGGTCCCTCCTTTTATCCTTGGATTCTTGGTTCGAAGGACCTGTAGACTCGGAAGTTCGAGAGTTTGGTTCGGGCTTTCGGGCGCAGGGTTCAGGCATCAGGGCCAAAGAATGGGCCTAAGAGCTTCGACAATCTTTGGTTGAGGCTTGGGGGCTTTAGCGCTCAAGGGTCCAGACTCCAGGGGGGAGTCCGTGTAGGGCTTTCGGGCCGTCGGTGCTCAGACCAGGGTTTAGGGTGTAGGGAAGTTCCAAAACGTGTCAAAGAGGTTTCGCACGCATTTTGGGATGGTTTACTTGGAGGGTCGGGAGACTTAGTAACTGGCTATTTTAAGGACTTGCAAGTACCATAACCCCAATTAGGGTTCCTTTTAGAGTACTTATAAGTCTACTTACTACCTACTTACTAAGTCCCCCGACCCTCCAAGTAGGCCCAATCAATCCTACACGGTTTAGGGCCGAGAAGCAGGTTCGGTTGCTTTGCGATCCCTCCGCTGGGCCAAACCGTCCACTGGGGCAGGAGGAGCAAGCCGTGGTGCCCAACATATCCTTGGGTTGTAAAGGCTCTTTGGATAGAATTTAACGTGCTCATTGTGAATTCCTGGGTTGTTCATAAAAAGTTAAGGGTGTTTAGAAGGGATATAATGGAAGCGCTTCTTGTGTATTCACAAGGTCCTATGGCTGTCTGGAGTTTAAGGTGCAGAGTGTGCGGTTTCTCTCCTCTCGCAACAGCGTGCAGAACCACGTGTCTAAATCCTAGGTCATACTCTCATATATAGCATCAAGCCATAGGAGAGCTCTCCTAAAAGACTTCACAGCATTCCTGACTATGGTTGATGACCTTAATGACCCTAGACTATGGGAGTTACGGTATATTCCTTCTTTGTCGGTAATGCGGGATTTAAAACATCAACCGTAGTATAGTCCTTGGGCCCAAAGAGCCTGAAAATAGTAGCCCCTGGAACCCAAACCCTAAACCCCAAACCGTAAACTCCCTCAACCCAAACCCTAAACCCTAAACTGCCTCAACCCCAAACCCTAAACCCTCAACTGCCTCAACCCCAAACCCGAAACCCTAAAATTCGTCAACCCAAACCCTAAACCCCAAACCCCAAACCCTGATTTGCGACCCCGGCTATCACTACTTAAAGGATCATGGGACTTAGTAACTGGGGATATAATTAGGGTAACTATACTTATAACCCTACTTAAGGTACTTATAACCTTACTTACTAAGTCCCATGATCCTCCAAGTAAAAGACCCAAAAGCCTCGACGTGGGACCCCGAAGTGAGGTCAAAATGCCTCGGCACCAGATCCCGCAGACCGAAACTCTACTGACACCTCCGAAGCTCGAATCCTGGGTAGTATCATTAGGGGGACCCCTTAGAGGGTACCCCTTCTGAACCGTACTTCTGGCTCTCTTAAAAGGGGCCTTATTGAGAGGGTCTATATCCCCGAGGGTCCCCCTGATCCTAACTCCCAAATCCTCACACCCCAACTCTCCAAAAAACGCTAGGAGGGTTTAGGCTTTGGAATTTAAGTAGAAAGAAGTAATTCCCAAAATGATAAAAGTAAAACACTAAAATAATGAGGGAAAAAAGCTACTACCGCTGATGGACAAAATCCTGTATTACCCATTAGAAGGAATATACCATAGTTCAAATAGTTTAGAGTCCATAGGGTCATGCAGGATTTATATCACCAACCCTATAAACCCTAAAATCCTATAGATCCCGTAAAGGAACCCCTTAAAGGTACCTTTATAGATCCCTTTGAAGGAACCCTAGGTTGTCCATCAACAGTATCTCAGCCGAAGCTCGGTCCAGCGCCCTGGGGCGCACAGCCCGCAGGCCCCGGCGCCCTCGGCGCTGAAGGCACCGGGGCCACAGGCCTAAGGCGCGTTGGGAGCTCTTCTCCCTAAGGATAGAGGATCACGGGACTTAGTAAGGGTTCCTAAAGGGCGCCTTAAAGGGATCTATAGGGTTCCTTAATGCGATCTATGGGGTTTAGGGCTTGGGGTTTAGGGTCTACTTGGAGGATCATGGGACTTAGTAAGTAGGTTATAATTGGGGTTATAAGTCCCCTAAGCGGGGTTATCCTAATTATAACCTACTTATAACCTTACTTACAAAGTCCCATGAGCCTTCAAGTACTCAGACCTTCCAAAATCCCTTAATTAAGGAATATACCCTAAATTATAGCAGGATCCATAATACGATTTAAGGTATATCCCTTAACTAAGGGATTTTGGAAGTTCTGGGTAGATTCTTTAAAGGGATCTCTTTAAGGGTGTCCTTTAAGGGATCTATAAGGGGTGTCAGGGTTTAGGGTTTAGGGATATAAATCCTGCATGACCCATAATAAGGAACATACCATAATTCCCATAGTTTAAGCTCCTTAAGGTAATGCAGGATTTATATCATCAACCGAAGTAGTTGCTCTATACAACTATGAATACCACAACACCAACTAGGATCCCACTTCGGGCACTGTTGACTCCACCGATTTCCTACTTACTGATTGGTCAGACCCTCCGCGCGCGCGGGGCTCCATAAAGCTGCGAACCCAGACCTTCCAAAATCCCTTAATTAAGGAATATACCTTAAATCTTATTAGGGATCCCACTATAATTTAAGGTATATTCCTTAATCAAGGGATCTTGGAAGGTCTGGGAAAAAGGTTTTAAGGGTTGTTCAAGGCCCTTTGGGATCGTTTCGGGATTGGGGTTTCGTGTTTGTTGTTTCGGGTGGGGCTTGAGGATTGGGGTTCGGGGTTAAGGTTTGGGGTTTGGGGCTGCTTGCGGTTTGGAGTTTTGGGGTTTAAGTTGAAGCCG